TACATTCATTTCATTAATATTCAATCTTGTTAAAATTTAGTTAATGAAACAATTAACATAATTAAATATTCTATGACAGAAAAATAATAAACAGTTTTGAACTCTATTGAATATAATTACATACTGTATATGTTTAAACGAAGTAAATAAATAATTTCAAATTATAAAAAAACAACTATAAAATATACTTGTAAACAACTTTTATACAAAAAGCAAAAGATTTTAGCATTAAAAAAATTAAACATGAGACAATTAATGCACCAATTCAAGAAAGTAAAAGCTAATTATTGCTTTGCAATTATATTTTAGAATCAGAATTTGCAAATTAAAAAAAAATTTTAAGCATTTGCAATGATTTATTTATGAAAATTTCATTCAAAATTACATTATAAATCATCACTATACCGCTGTAAAAAATTTTCACTAAATGCAAGATATTCAGCATTCTGACAACACTTAAAATTACAATAAATTAATCAAAGAAGTTAAAATGACAATTACTATTATGTGGTTAACAAATAATAGAATTAGAAACAAAATTTATCATTGTATAGAAGCTATACAGACATATTATTCTATTGATTATTTTTTAGTAAACAATAGAATAATATTTTATAAGCTTTACCCAGTTAGAGCTCCACCGCATAGAAAAAATTGCCGTTGAGCATGGCTACAGTAAAGGCATGATTCATGGTTTAGCCCGTGCCTGTGCTGACCGTTCTCCCACACCACAGTGGCAGCCCCCTGCCTACGCTGGACGGCGGCCACTAACCCATTAAGAACGATAGATGCGCGGTCGTCTGGTTCAACCAATATTTAGACCCCCTATACAGGGAGATTGCTTGCCGTAATCGCATGAAGATCGCATACAGGAGAACTGGCACTATTTACGACCTGCTCTGCAACGCCTAGGACACAATAGATCTCAACAGGGCCCCAGGGGTATACTCCATTCCCATAGAGACTTAGTTTACATTGGCTCCATCATCTGCTCAACACAAAAATGGTTAAGTAAGCATCAATCGGATATTAAAAATAACAGGCACACCACTGCCTTGTCAGCCTATGTTACTGACCCTGAAATTCGGGTGGACTTCCAAAACACCAAAGTAATCAGACAGGCGTTTCGTATTGATCAATCCGTCACCTGGAGGCCTGGGAGATTTATAAAACCAACATTGGGGGCACCTGCATCAACTTTAAAGATGGAGAAACGATTGCGCAGGCATAGAGATACTTATTCGAAGCATTTGATCTGGGACAAGCGGAGGGGTGAAACATGATATGATCATTATTTACATCTTGGGCATCATCATTCCAACGGTCAAGAGTAGACACAGTTTAGTCACAACCTGAAGCAGACCTCAGTGGAGGTCAAAAACATTTGTGAAGATTGTTATACAACACAACACTGTTATAAAAAGGTTTTGTGGATTGTTGCAATGGAACCTATGTACCACAAACCTGGTGATTTCATGACTTCATGTGACAAGTTTGAGCAGAAAAGTAGGAAGTAACGTTGAGAACCAAAGGCAGTTTTGTGCAATGCCATCCAACATTTCGTATCCTGAGATACTACTGTATATATATACTTTTTAANAGACGCTACACACTGCATTTGATGATACAGCAACCACGTCCTCTACATTAAGTTAATACTTTCTTACATTTGCCACAATTGATACCACAGTTTATTAAATTCAATTATTTCTGTGAGGTTTAAATGTCAAATGTTTATATTTCTTAAAAATGATGCTTTACTGTACATTCTTTGAAGACCATATAAAAATTATCCATGGATCCTGGATTTGATCTCATTCAGTAGTGGGATTCAGTTGGTTTGTACCAGTTCAGCAAAACTGCTTCCTAAAATATTTTAATTTGGCAAATTGATTTTTAACAATCAATTTGCCAAATTATAAATTGTCTAAACAAATATTACAAGTTATCACAAAGACTGCATTTGCATAAAACTGCCAACTTTTAACAGCTCAATGCAGACTAGATCAGAACAATAGAGAAAGACTGCAACAGAGCAATAAGTGTGAGCCTAGAACTTAATATTTTACCTGAGAGCTCAACTCACAGGTACAATAATAAGTTCTAGGCACAAATATATGTGACTGGATCTGGGAAATGCAGGACAATAAATATGTTTTCGGGATGATTTTTGCATACAAATATTAAGACATTGATTACTATTGTTGGATAGTCCCAGAAAAGGGAGAGTGAGGATTAATCACACAGCCAATGATCTTTGGATTAAAGTAAAGAAAGCTACGAAAGATGCAACTCAAGAGGCAATATGGAAATATCTAAATTATAGTTTAAATTTATCCTTCACTAAAAGTATTAATAAAAGTTTTTTTTTATGTAATATTTTTTTTATAATCCATTTTATGGTAAAAAATATTTTCAATCAATTGTCAAATAATATTAATTTGTTCTCATCTGGGTATTCACAGCTGATGGATGCAATGAGGTCTAGCCATTTTCAATGTTATTCCCCTGGCTGTTATATACAACATTTACATTTACTAAAGGATTAGAAGACCTCCACCAATAGGTATAGCCTTGGAAAAGGAAAGATTAAGCATTATAGTAGAAGTGAGAAGAGTGAAGAGAAGAGAAAGATAGATAGGAAAGTGTGAAATATGACGACATCTCAGAGTACCCACTGAGTGCCATTTATTAAACACAAAAAAGTACAAATAGCCAAAATACAGCAGTATACAGAATAACTGCCTCTATAGTAGGAGCCCCATTATAGCTGACTTGCCTTGGAGCTAAACAAACATATATGCACGAATGTACAACCGGATTGGGGGAAAGACAGACAAATCCTCTATGCTTTTGAAGGAAACAAAAGAAAACAACCGTTTGCACAAAACAGCCTGAAACCGGGTGCAAAGGCCTCTAAAGGCTAATTTGTCAAAGGGTCCACAAACACAAATACACGAGAACGTACAACCCCTCTTGGGAGAAAGACAAGTCCTCCATGCCTTTGGAGGGAGAAAGCAACCGTTAGCACAAAAAACAGCCCGAAACTGGGCAAATTGACCCTTAATGACTACCTTGCCAAAGGGCCTGCACACAAACACGTATGTACTGTACATCCCCTATCAAGGGGGAGAGAACTTCCATGGCCTTGGAGAGTACAAAAATGTGAGCGACAAATTCTCCTGTGAAGGGACCAGGGACAATGACATTGTTCCTTCAGGTCTAGTGGTGCACGACAAAGGGTGGTTAGGACACCGACCACCTTAAAACAATAAATCACCACACAATTGCCTAAACATTGGGCTATAATATGGCTAATTAAAACACCTTAAAACAAAAAACAACGACACAATTTATGCCANTTACATTTATTAATATATATATTTATATATTAATAAATGTAAAAAGAAACAAAATTACATTTCAGAAGTTAGTTTTAATATAAAATTATAATGACTAGTGCCATCTAGTTTCAAAAACATTCTGATGCTGAAACAATATATCTCAGGTCAACTGGTTAAGGTCAGCATGTCACAACCAGAGATATGTTAAGAATAACATGAGACAGGTAAATGGGTTTTCTCAAAAATTCATTTGTCAAAATTAGATTTCACAGCATTCACATTTCCAACTTCCCAATGAGCATCACATGTGCAAATCTCGCACTAGTGCCTGTTTGTAGAAAGAGTATCGCTATTTTGTATTTTATTTTGCTCGGTTCTTGGTTCCCCGAGTACCTACAAGTCTGGTTTTTTTATGTGCACATGATTTGGCCATCTAATACTCTGTGCCAAATTGCAACTCCTGATATGTACTCCTTCATACCTCTAAGCTGGTAAGCCAGGACAGAACCATGATTTTAAAAACAAGAAATAGTCTTGTCAAAAAGCATTTATCTATTATAGTATATAAAAATTAGTGACATTTCACTAATTTTTATGGTAAACCACACACACTCAATGAATGAGTGTGATTTACCATTAGTTATATTCAGCAAAGCATGTATAAGATTCACACATTGTACCCAAGAATTCACACATTGGAGATATACATTGAAATTTCAGGAGTTATTTTTAAAAATTTGTCATTTTAACAGTAAAGTCATTTGGAAAAATAAAAAATTTTTCATGAAAAATTTCTAACCTTTAGAAGTTAAATATGCATATTCTTTCTTATAAATTTGATCACAGAAATCTATAATTTGTGGAATATAGTCAGTTACACGAGTAATTATTTTTGGTGGAATTATCTTAAGTTTTCCTAAATCGGCAAAAAAATCTTGTTCAAAATGCTTCACAATATGCTGTATTGTCATGTTTTCCTAAATATAAAGAAAATTTTAAAATAAATTAATTATAAATAATTTTATAAAAACTTATAATTATTCATTATTAAAATTATTATTTATTTGATTATTAACCATCAAAATTATCATACTGTGACACCTACTGTACTAAATTATTTCATCATTAACTAACTTTTGAGGACTACCAATTTAAAATCCTGATCATCATCAATATATAAATAACTGAACATTTTAAAAAAAATGAAGTTATTTTTGTTACAAAAAAGTATTAGTCATGGTTTTACTTCTTATGTATGCAAAGTACCTTGAGTAGATTTATTCATTTACAATTAAAATATTTATTTTAACATTGGCAGAAGTAACTTCATTTTTTTTAAACTATCACATTNAGCCAGGACAGAACCATGATTTTAAAAACAAGAAATAGTCTTGTCAAAAAGCATTTATCTATTATAGTATATAAAAATTAGTGACATTTCACTAATTTTTATGGTAAACCACACACACTCAATGAATGAGTGTGATTTACCATTAGTTATATTCAGCAAAGCATGTATAAGATTCACACATTGTACCCAAGAATTCACACATTGGAGATATACATTGAAATTTCAGGAGTTATTTTTAAAAATTTGTCATTTTAACAGTAAAGTCATTTGGAAAAATAAAAAATTTTTCATGAAAAATTTCTAACCTTTAGAAGTTAAATATGCATATTCTTTCTTATAAATTTGATCACAGAAATCTATAATTTGTGGAATATAGTCAGTTACACGAGTAATTATTTTTGGTGGAATTATCTTAAGTTTTCCTAAATCGGCAAAAAAATCTTGTTCAAAATGCTTCACAATATGCTGTATTGTCATGTTTTCCTAAATATAAAGAAAATTTTAAAATAAATTAATTATAAATAATTTTATAAAAACTTATAATTATTCATTATTAAAATTATTATTTATTTGATTATTAACCATCAAAATTATCATACTGTGACACCTACTGTACTAAATTATTTCATCATTAACTAACTTTTGAGGACTACCAATTTAAAATCCTGATCATCATCAATATATAAATAACTGAACATTTTAAAAAAAATGAAGTTATTTTTGTTACAAAAAAGTATTAGTCATGGTTTTACTTCTTATGTATGCAAAGTACCTTGAGTAGATTTATTCATTTACAATTAAAATATTTATTTTAACATTGGCAGAAGTAACTTCATTTTTTTTAAACTATCACATTCTAATTGAATACAGTGAGTGATCGGTTAACGAACAGTTCAGACTGCAAACAAATCTGACAACAAACACATTCACAAAAGATTTTTATGTTCAGACAACAACATAAAAATCTTGTGAAACATGTGTTCAGATAATGAACACCTCATAGAACAAACACAAAAAAAAGTAATGGTGCATTTAAGATTTTTAAAACTATATTTTACTGGCATCTATACATGGTTTATGAAAAGAGACTTTCACAGTTGTATACATAACCTTTTTTGCACTAGTTTTCTGTTCTCTGAATTTTTGTAAGTACTTTTCTGAACTTTTATTTAAAAATCTGATATTATTATGCATGCATTAAAAAGAGTGAAGTGTCAAGAACTGTGTTCACTACATAGACTAAGCAAGAGATTATAGCCAAGGTAGAGAGTCTGATATTGTAGGCAGATGACTTCAACAGGTCTACAGTAGGTAAATCTTAACTTAAAAAAATATAAAATCAAAAAGACTCAAGCAGATAAAAGAGTAATGAAAATCACATCTGAGAAACAAAGATGTGCCATCCATGAAAAAATGGAGAGATTCTTTTTAGTTTGTTATTACATTTAAATAAACATAATAAATATAAAGAAATTATATAATTTTTTATTTATTTTTTTGTGGTCTCCAAAATGAATTAATGAAATTCCCATAAAAATCTATGGTAAATCAATAATCAATTAACAAACAATTCAGGTAGTGAACATTGTCTTTGAATGGATTATGTTTGTTAACCAATCACCCACTGTATTTATAATTCTACAATCTAACGATAAACATATTATAATGGCATTTAATTAATATATTTTCCTTTTGATAATTTTTATTACCTTATTATACAATCTATTTATTACTTTTCATTAGGTATTAAATTATTTTACATGTTTAAGATTAATAAACTATCAATAACTACTGTATATGAAGAACAGTCTGACATTAATAGAACAATTTAAAATATTTTGGAAAAAGTTATAATTTTAAAACTTCTGTTCATTAGGGTTTAGGTAAATATCAATTTTCAATTATCCATCCAAACTAATGCCTATTTAATTAATATAGTATAAATTAAACATTAACATGTACTTTGATTTTTGCTGTTGATGTTTTCATATGATACACATTCAATTTCTCAAATTTTACAGATGTTCAATATTCCTGCATCACTCTAATAAAACCATATCATTTCTATTATAAAAATGTATTACTTTTTCTAAATTTTACAAAACTTGCAAAAAAAAATTATATCTTATTTCTATATTAAGAAGCAAATCATTATCTTCTAGATTAATTAATCTTGTTTCCTGTTACATTTTATGATAAGGATGACTGAAATATTGAATATGTTCTTAAATCACATGTGAGTAATCTTGTGGTCACTGTTTCAATCCAATAAATTTTAACAAAATTTAAATTTTTTAAAATGCTATAAAGTAAAATATCTTATTAAATATCAAAATATCATCTGGAAAAAATAAAAATAAAAAATATACACAGGGCCATCCCTAGCAGATTCTCTGCCCTCAGGGTAGTTCAGAGTATTACACTACCTATTTCAACAATTAGCACTGTCTCACACTTGTAAAATTACCTGTCAAAATATCAGCTTAATTTCTCACTTTAATATCAATAAATATTTATAACTAAAAAGTAACCAGTAAGGAAATTAATCATAATTATTAATTTTTTCTTTTAAAATTTTATCATTGTAATGTCTTTTTTAATTGCTATCCTCAGGCAAATCAGACATTGCTTGAGTGCTAGGGATGGCCCTAAATATACAAAAGATAAATAAAGTTATAATAAAAAATTTCATAATTTCTTAAAAACCAATATGATAATCATAAATTTAACAGAATATTTTGTTGAGAATTTTCTAACTTCTCTGACAATACAGTTATTTCTAAAGATAGTTTAGAAATAACTGGTTTTTAAAATGACAAAAGACTTAACAAATTAACATAGATTCCTACATCTAAACCTGAAACTATTTACTATATCACAAATTTCTTGCTTTTTTGTTATTGTTTTGAATAATAATGACAACATTTTAAACAGCAGTACAATTAATAATGAAGCATAACATTAAGTGTATTAACAAAATTACATTTAATTATTCATTATAAAATTTTTACTTTATGATTGAGCATAAATTATTTAATGTTATGTGAATTTAAAATGATCTATTTTAACCAAAAGGCAATTTATTCAGTAATGTTCAGCTTAGTTTTTTCTTTAGTCTGTTTATCACTGTCTTGTCAAATAAATATATATATATATATATATATATATATATATATATATATCTTATATTATATATATCTATATATATATCTAATATATATATATATATATATATATAGTATATAAAAGATATAATGGAGAAACTAAGCAATTACATACAGAATTGATATTAGAGAATGATTGATAATGAAGACAATTTAACCATCTAAGTAAGCATAACAAAATTATATTTTTTCACATGACTTCAAAAGTATCTGGTATATACTTATCTGGTACATAACTGATTATGCTCATTCAGCAGTTTAAAACTGTATTATCATCAAATCAGCTTCTAGATCAGTAATTAGTTTATGATGAAATGCTGGTATGGGGCAGTCCATAAATTACATAAGGGCGATTTTGGCCATTCTAGATCCCACCCACCCTGTGTAAGAAACCATAATATTTTCTTTGATCCCCCTCCCCTTCCCTATCTTATGTAATATTTTGGCATGATTTTATAAAAAGATTTTAACCAAAAAATTTTTTTATGAAACCCTAAAAACCTCAGGTCCAAAATATATAATTATTAATTATGTACTATTATTTATAAAAGACTTTATGTGAACAAATTTAAAAATATAAAAATTTAATAAATTCGAATGAACAATTTATTTTAAGAACTTTATTTTTTAATTATTAACAATATTATTATTGTTATTATTATTATCATTAATCAATGTCATAATATTTATTTTTATAATAATTTTAATTTTCGCAAAAGACGCAAAAAACTTTGCCAGATTGAATTAGCTACTGCACACGTAAACAGAAACATCATACAAAATAAAACAAGAGAGAGTAGAGAGAAACCACATTCCATTGCCATATTGATTACATCTTGGCTAAGGCCATGATGTAATCAATATGACAATAATAAACTACATGCTGCTAAAATGTGCTAGGTGCACCTGGGGACTAAATAATAAAGCTTATAAAACTCTATATAATGGGGCAAAGACCAATGCTACTTTATGCGGCCTCTGACTATGGTCATGTAACTAGTAAAAATTCAGTATCAAGTAAATTACTCTCTCTTCAAAGCCAGTTTTACATCAGAATTTCAAAGTGCTACAGAACTGTTTTTACTAATGCCTCTCTGATACTAGCAGAGCTCCTCCCTTTGCCACTATATATTGTAGTAAAGATTCTAAACTACTACATCAGAACTACAAACGTCAAGGCTCAACAACGGTCTCTACGGCTGTTCATATGCTACCACATTGCAATTACCCTACTATCTCTGATCACCATCCTGTAAACAAAGATATTTGGTGTCATCTGCTTCCTCCATGGATAATCATGCATGCATTAATATCTACACAGATGGGTCAAAAAGCTCCCTTCTTGTTGGCTCAAGTATCTGTATCTTCCTCCAAACTTGATAGATGGAGGTATGTAGGAGGTATCTGTACCTCCCATATACCTCCATCTATCAAGCTAAAGAAGATGTTGACTACCACGCTGTTCAGTGGGCCACTTCACCACCAAACAAAACTCTGTCTATCAACATTTACAGTGATTCTCAGTCTGTCCTAAAAGCTCTATTAAATCCCAATTGCAATAGCAATAAAATCGCATATATCCAGCACCATATTAAAAATCTTGTAAAGATAACTTTTACATATGTTCTTGGCCATACTGGCATACTAGGAAATGAAAAAGCTGACTTTGAGGATAAGTCAGCTGCAAAGAACACTGATTTGGACTACACTAAGGCTGCTACGAGAGAGAGGAATGTCCCTCTCTCATATAGCAGCCTTAAAAATTATATTCATGACAATGCTATGCAAAAGTGGAATCAGTAAAAGTAGTTGAGCAGTAAAACTGGTAGAATAACAAGACTTTAATTTCCTAGTGTTGAATATAGGTTCTCATCACTATTTAGAGATTTAACGTTTGTGTCAGATACGAATAGCCCGGGTCTAAACTAATAATTTAAAAATAATGTTAAAATTTTGTCATAAAATATTCTTTCGTTTTGGGTGAGAAAAATAGCGTTTTCTAGCGTGGGAAAACAGCTAGGAGAGTCACTTCCTTTGACGGAAGTATGAGCATCCTCTGTTTTTCCCTTATCTGCTAAAAATATTGCTTTATTGGGAACTGTCTACCCCTCATTTCTTCTCCTTCCCATCCGTCCACATGGGAAAATCTGAATACGATGATTGGTCAAATATGGGAAGATATCAGCGAAGTTGGGCCGAATTCGAGGAGTTCAGCGGCAGATCCGAAAGTGACAAGACTCCACTCAATTGCTCTCTAAGGCCAACGCCCTTAAGAGTTCGTCGGTAGATCTGGAAGAGACCGCACTCCATACACTTGCTCTAGAAGACCAACGCTCATAATTGTATCATATAGAGTTAAACTTCAGTTAGAACTTGAAATAGAAAAATTTATTTGTGTGCCAATCCTCCTTTTGAACCGAAGCGAAAGAACATTCTCTATGAAGTTCCTTCGCCGAATAAGAAGACGACACTGCAAAGTAAACAGGTCGTATGTTTAAGACTAAATTGTGAGCTCTCTCTCTCTCTCATAAATGTATAGGTTAAGAATACATTTCTCTCTCGACTCGGTATAGACTAAGAATAGATTTCCTCCTGTCACGATTGATTTGATCATTCGTTCTTTGATTGACTGTTTGGATTATTAGATTATTTCTTATTCTGTATTTGTATTGTTTATTTTGTTTATTAAATTATATATATATTTTGTTAAGAGATGTCTCATGTCGAATCTCTGAATCAGATCTACGGCATAAATTTCACGCGTGTTTATCCGCGTTACGCAAGTAGATAAACTGGTGTCGGGAACCTGACATTTGGATAGAGACTACACAGTCTTTAACCCTCATTAAGCCTGAATATTACAGCCCTCCTATGAAGATTTAAGATCGGATCTCGAAATCCGAAACTTAGAGAACAGATTTCGGATAATCTGTGCCCATAAGTGATATAGGATTAACCCTATACCCTTGGCTGACTCTCACAGATACTGTTTCTATATTTAGAATAGTTATAAATGCAGATCAAAGTATAATACATTTAAACTTGTATATGAATAATGTGTGTAACAATCTGTTTAAATTTCAAAAAAGTATTGCTATATATAATTATTGACTGAGAATCNTACGGCATAAATTTCACGCGTGTTTATCCGCGTTACGCAAGTAGATAAACTGGTGTCGGGACCCTGACATAAGGAAGAAGGTGAATTTGCCATCACCAACTTCCGCTTAAAATATTAACTGTAAGACCCTCCACACTTGTTTCCCTAAGTTTTGGGAAAGGCCGTTCTTGTAGACGACTGAGACTAATTTCATGAACTAGTGCCGATTAAGTGGTGCTAATTATTCCAGCGGATTGGTACCCCAGCTGATCTCACATTTGCTACTGCTCAACTACTTACTGAGCATGGTAATTTCAGAACCTACCTGGCAATATATAACAAGGCAGAAACTGCTCCTTGCTTTTGCTCTACAGAAAACCTAGACACCATCGACCATATGATCTATCATTGTCCAATTTATGATCAAGATAGACTCATTCTGAAATTAGAAATTTTTATGCTTGGTTTCAGGTAGCCATGTCCACTTGATAATCTTGTTCAGAAACCACTGTTTGATGCTTTTTACAATTACGTTCAAAAAATATGGAAGAAAAGACTATTTATAATTTATAATTTCTAGTTTTACATTTTAGTTTTCACTAAAAGCCAAATACTAATTTTATGTTTACTTTGTATCATGTATTTTGGTTTATGTATTCTTAGTGTTATACAACCCATAGGAATGGTGCACTTATTCTAATAAAAACCAAGAGAGAGAAACCACCACATGGCTTTCTCCCATGACAAAAAATGTGTAGTGTGTGAATCTGCTAGCGTTATTACTCTATTACGTCACACAAGACGAGTGTTCTTAATAGAAACCGCCAAACTGAAGCCAAATTCAAAATGCCACCACTCAATGAGATCAAAAAATAAAAATACGAATATTACTAAGACGAGATCTATTACCTCCATACCAGAGTAAAAAATCGTAAGAAATCCTTGACCCCACCCATCCCAAAATACCTTACGTAATTTATGGACGGCCCCTATAACTGAATTTGAGTTCTTCCTATTAATGGCAATCTGGCAATGATGCTACAAAATCTTTAAAAAAATCCAGCAACAATCCAAAAAATCCATTCCCAGATGTTATGATATTTTATTATAAAAATTTTTATATTATTAATTATTATAAAATGGCAAAAAACTTAATTTTGATAATAGTGATGCGCTTTATAAAAAATTGTACATGCTAATGAGTAAAATATTCATTAAATCTGACCCCTCTTGCAATATGATACCTGAACTCCTTCTATCTCACCATCTTCTCAACCTTTAATCACCAAATTTAATAGCATCAATGCTTCTTATACAAATTACCATGCCAAATTTCATTTCTTAATCATTAACCCCATCCTGAGATATTAAGCAAATTAGACACAATAAACATAGAATTTTTTCCCTTTTTTTTTTTTTTGATTTTTTTGGGTTTGGGGTTCTTGAAATGTTGAGATTTGAAATAACTCAAAGGGTCATGGAAATCATGTCAAATTTGACATGGTTCCAATAATTTCCCTTATGTATACATAACAGATGGGAAAGTAAAACTTATATCTTGCTTAGTCAAATAATAGAATCAAGATGAAGTAAATTGCATTTAAATTAATTCTATCTTGAATCAAGTTTTATTGGCTGGTAAGTTTAGAGATCTACTTTTAGATCTTTATTGTACTGAATGTAACATCTGATCTAACATATCTAATAGCCTACAGCAACTCAGTTTCAACAAACCAGATTATCAAAAATCTATTTTGAATACTAAAATATCAATATTTCAAAACTTTGATGGAAAAATTGATTTTAATAAATAAAAAAAAAGTAACTTTAATAACTCATATAAAAAGCAATTACTTATTTTAAAAGATAAACATCTTTTAAAGTAAATAACCAAACTTTATATTTATTTGAAACATTGTATTTAATATAATTAAATCCAGATTTAAAATTTTTGTAAATTCAACAATTCTAGTAAATAATAAAGTGTAATAATTAAAATTATACAAAAAACAAAGACTTTACCTCTCTAGATTTAGCTATAATTTTATCATCTATATCAGTAATTCCCATGGTGAGAATGATGTCATAATTAAAATATTTTTCCAATATTCGTCGAATAATATCAAACTGCATATAACAACTGAAAAATTTAATTCTTGTTAATATTTTTAAACAGTACCACAAATTAAAACAAAGCTATAATTTTAATTTTGAATTATTTAAATAAATCTTAGATTACTATGCTTATTTTCATTATAAGATACAATTCTAAAATAGGGTTAAAATAAAACCTAATTATTTATTTAAAAAAAAACTGATGTAGCAATTATATTATTTCATCATATATTTAATAATATACAAGATGATCATAAAGTATTACTATTCAACACTGTCTAGAGCAGCGGTCGGCAACCTTTCTCACTTCACAGACCATTATCATGAATTTTTTTTAAAAGGATACAAAATCTGTAGAATAATGATAAAAAAAGTTCAATTTTACTATATTAATATGAAACTTGCATGCTTAATTATAACAAATTAATGCAAGCCTAAAGTTCATTGCTGCTTGTTTGAAACAAGTTTATGGATTCTTCGCGCTTTTCCAGAAGGACAACAATCGCACTCACAATATTGTTTATTGTTCATTATTTATTGATAACAGTCACTTCGTTTTTTGTTTTAGATTTGAATAAAAATCCCCAATGAGTGAAAAAAGCAACTAAGCATTTTGCATTTCGTTTGTAATACTTTGTGTAACCTTCGGTTGATCAATGTTCAAATTTCTCCACGGGTCACCCAAATTTTCTCGCAGACCACCAGTTGCCAACCATTGGTCTAGAGCAGCGGTGGCCAACAAGTCAATCGTGATCGACCGGTCGATCACGAAGCCAATTTTGGTCGATCGTTCGAGATGTCTTGAATTAATGTGTTACACTTGTAACTGAACGTAATGCGCAAATGCAAATGTAGTGATATTGGACCACCGCGTCCTCCCTCAGATGCGGTTTTGTTGGTCCATGTGATATTCATTTGCGTACAGTCATAAAAGGGAAATAAGAAATGTAGACAAAGGATCGTAAAACCAAAAAAAAAGGTGGGTAGAGGGACAGAGGGAGTGGTCAGGACATGGTAGAAAGAGGAAGGGTGAAGTGGTGGTCCCCGAAAGTGATAACGTTGAGTTTCAATTTTTATTCTGTTTACAATGTAAGTACTTTTTCTTCGTGTTTTAAATTAAATTGTGGCTTTTCTTACCTATCTAAACATAGTATGTATTTCACACCACCCCTTGCCACTTAGACTATCCCTACAACAACAAGTCAATCACGACACATTTTTAAGATATAAAGTAGATCTTCTGTACATAAAAGTCGGCCACCCCTGGTCTAGAGGGATATCTAACAGTCCAGAAATTTTGTAAACTGACATATCAGGACACACTCAAAAATACCAGGTTAGAGACATAGTCATGATACACCATGCCTTTTAAATGATCCCATAACCAGAAGTCATGAAGGATTAGGTAACCATACTGCGAAAACCTGCAACTAATTATTCTGTTATTACTAAAATGTTGCCACAGTAAATGTTGTAGACTTTGTCTTACATTTGAAAGTACCACTATCTTGTATAAAATTGCTGATATTGTTGTTACTGCAGCTTGTTAAACAAAATTGTTCAATGTTTCCCAATACCTTTGGAAAGTAACAGGAAAGGTAATGATAAAGTATTTGAGAAGGTTGCAGGACTTAAGCAGAACTAGTCTTTTCAAAAAAGAATGGACCAAGTGTGTCTAAAAACACTACACTGAGTTTGGGCAAATGAGGTGAAATCTGTTGACATGCATTTGAACATTTCAAAGTCTAATTATGAGAGACTAATTTATTGAAGAAAAAATGTGCCTCAGTCCACAAGATCTCCCATAGACAAACATAGCTCACTTACATTATATAAAAAATTTCAATGAAAAAGTCAAGTGGGCTTCCTTGTCACCATCAAGTAACTATTGACTGATCTTGTATTGGAAAAAATGCAGTATCTTTCTTAGTGCCTACCATACAATAGCATATGGCACAGCCAACTGCTGTGATACTTTACATGCATTGCCATGACCTGTTACTATCTTACTGGTAGATTACTCATTGAGCAATCTACAAGTAATATAGGTCATGGCAATATCTTCCACTATTTGTGCAGTAAGAGAATTGCATCCTTGCCCTAGCTATATACATAGATGACCAGTTTTCTGAAACAGATCAATCATTTTTCTAGGAGTATACAGTGTCAAAGACCCTAAAGAATTTCTTAAAGTATCAGAACTCTTACAGCAGTATTGCTATTATTTTCATAAAACAGCTTCACAAAAAAAAGGTACATTTCAGCAAGGTCACAAACATTGTGAATGATCTGCCATAATGAATAGTATTCCAATTATTGGGTATAAAACTATCTTCAACAGGTTTCCACCTGCTGAAGATAGTTTTATACCCAATAATTGCCCATAGCAAGTGTATACTTTTTGTTGCTCATAGTGCCATAAATTCTTTAGTGGTGAATTTTGGAACTAAATTTTTCCCCAAAAAATCTATTTGCATGTCCTAAAATGACAGCATACAAAATTTGGTTATGTTTAAACTGCTACATATTCTTCCAAATAACAGTGAATAAAAATATTTTAATTATGATCACTTTGTATTTTTAGGAAAATTAGTATCAATTGGAAATGATAAGACTATTAAAAATTTTTGCTTATTGGAGTTGCTTTTATTACTTGATATAAGTAATTTAAAACTAAAGTTATAAGAAAAAAGAAGCATATTTTTTATGTTTTAATTTTTCATTATTTCCTATAGTATTTTTCCAATACACACAGAACTCAATTAAGAAGTTTCCACATTAGAAGTCTATCCATATAATAATTTTAATTTAAAATATTCAAATTTTTCCTATATAAAATGTTCCCACTTAAGAAAATTTCCTGTTTAAGTAGGCTGAAATCATTATCCATGATCAAAAATTGGACTCACTTAAATTTTTCAACAGCATCATATCAAAAATTTTTATATATTTAAAAAAAATTATATTAGGAAATACAGTACACAAAATTGTTTATCATTTTGGGTGTGACTTTGGGTTACTTTAAAGATTTATTTTGGAATTTTGTTGCATGATCATCTGGCATTAATGCTTGCAATAAACAGCAAGTTCTGGAAAGTGCTATCATCTCATGGGTGATATTGTACATCTTCAACAAATTTTAGTACAGTATTTGTAGATTTGTGGGTTTTGTTCATGGGAATCATAAAATGTATTTTTTTTTTACATAACAAAAAAAAAATTAAGCAGGCTACATTGGACAAATATCTAAATAAATACTGTATAAACCTAATCCAGGGATGCACAACCTTTTCTGAAGAAGGGCCAAATTAGGATTAAGTTTACTGACTGGGGGCCGGACCTCCAAGTGATTAATGTGATGGCTGAGATTGGATGCTGGCGGCAATCTTCTTGATGTCTAGCGTAATGGCAGATGTTGAAACAACCAGCAGATTTTCCAAATTCTCGTTGGTTAACCTGTTCCGTGTTTTGCACTTGTTTAAATTCATAAGCGAAAACGCTTGTTCGCATACATACCATGTTTCCCCGAAAATAAGACCTAGCAGAGGTTTTGCTGAATTGCTAAATATAAGGCCTCCCCCCGAAAGTAAGACCTAGTAAAGTTTTTTTTTTTTTTCTTCATAACGGTCATCGACAGCAGGTTGAAAGTGGCCGTTGGCTTTTTGAAAGTACAGCCACTGATTGGTCAGCAGACAACACGCCACACGGCATGATTTGCATAAGACTATGGCTTGGAATCACAGATTTGCATAATGTTATGGCTGGTGATCACTAATTGGTCGGCCGGGAATCACGCCACATCATATTTGCATAGTGTTATGGTTCAGTAAGCAGTAATTGGTCATCGAGCCCGATGTAGACGCTATAAAAAGGTTAAGTTGAAGCAAGAGTGGGAAGTCCACTCCAACGGAACTTTGTAAGTTCACTTCGGTTTTATTTAAGTTCAGTTCAACATGACCGGATATACGTCACTCTCGTCTAAGTTCGACTTGGGAATTTTTTTGTTCAATAGTAAATGTGAATTCTTCATGGAAAAATAAGACATCCCCTGAAAATAAGACCTAGTGCATCTTTCAGAGCAAAAATTAATATAAGATAGTGTTTTATTTTCGGGGAAACACGGAAGGTACTGCCAAACATGCTTGCACAAAATCGAGCATTGTCTTTCAGTTTTGGAAATGATGTATCAGGCAGTTCTTTGTAGAATGTGAGGAGATTAGAATTTTTAAACTGTGATTTCAATTCATCACTGCACTGGATGTTTATCAACTCAAGTTGGACATCTGGAGGGGTATCTTCCACTTTCACATCAAATGGAGTTGAAAAAAGTTGCAGGTAGATCTTGTATTTCTGGAATTCACCAAACCTCTCATTGAATGATGTAAGGAGGGTGTTAACTTGGTCAGAGTAATCCATCTTCATATGTGGGTATTTCTCTTTCATGGCCTTGCAATGTGGAAAGTGTGTAAAGTTCTCTGATTGCATGTGGGACTTGAAAAGTGATAGTTTGGTCATAAATGCATTGATGTTACTTGTCAACTGAGAAACAAGTTGCATCTTTCCCTGCAATCTCAAATTAAGGTCGTTTAGATAAGCAGTAATGTCAGCAAGGAAAGCTAAATCACACTGCCATCTTTGTCCCTCCAAATTCCTTGTAGTGTTCCCCCGTTCTTTGAGGAAAGTGATAATAGGCCCCAATAGCTCCACAAATCTCTTGAGGACTGTTGCCTTGCTCAGCCAACGAACTTCAGTATACGTGGGCAGGTCAGCATAATCAGCATCTATTTCTTCAAGAAATGATGTGAAGAGTCGATGGTTGAGTCCATGACGGCGGATTAAGTTCACAGTATCATAGACATCTTTCAGCAGACGTTCAAATCCCAGCTTCTTTGCACAAAGTTGCTGTTGGTGAATTATGCAATGATACTGGACTAACTCCTTTTGCCTGTCCCCAAGGTGGTTTTTCAGCAAGGTGACCATGCCATTCTCACATCCAACCATAGATGGTGCTCCATCAGTGGCAAT